GTTACTTGTCCACCGTTGAGCGCTTTTCTCCCTGGGTCATCCATCTGGGTCCACATTCACGCGTAGAAGTGTAACGTGAGGTTAGATTGTTGAAATCGAATAGAGCCACAAGATCAGATAGACTATCTCCAGCCCACATCGCGTTCGGAGCATGTGCACTTGTGAATGAGTCGCATAACTTAATAGTGGAACTAGGGGAGCAAAAGACTGTCCTAATAGATTGCAGTCGCTCCGTTATAGGCTCCATTTTCAAGGTTCACGCCCGGCATGCTGCAATCATATAGGAATCAGCCTGACCTCTAAATTACTTGCCTCTGTCGTTCATACTATCTCTCGGAAAGCCAGATTCGCGAGGAACAAACCGGATTTTGTCAAATTCGAAGCTGTACGGATCACATGATAATGTACAAAAACAGCATCAACAACAACAACAGCACATCAACCACTTGAACGGATGCTTCGCCGCTATACGCAATAACGAATAATAAGGAGAAAAGAAGGGGGACTTATCGAAAAACCTTGATGCCCTAAACAAATATTCAGGTTCAAGGCGCTTACACCTGGTGTTAACAACATACTGTCACAAACAGCTGGCTAGCATGCAAAGACAACGCGGCATCGACCAGACAGCTTCCTTGCGGTTTACACTGCCCCGAGTCATAATCAGCCATCATCCTATCACAAATGCCATTAGGCTAATATCCCTGTGGTAAGCACAGTCAGTATGACTGCCCTTCTTGTAGATTGCCACTATACTCGATTCACCCCAGTTAGCCGGGAAACTCTTCCTTCCGAACCCGTGGGAACAGGGATGTCAGTGCTTTGCAGAGGACCTCACCTCCATCATTAAAAAGTGCAGATTGGAGGAAATCTGGACCAGCAGCGCGGAAACGATTACGCGCTGTGAACGATTTTCGGACCTCAGACTCCGATGGAGCCACTAAACTAACCGGCCACGGCTCGTCCTATATCACCTGAATAGGAAGACGTCCGGTAGCAGGTGGCACACTGAACTGGTCTTGAAGTGTTCCGCCTAACGAGCCACACGACGCTCCCTATTGTGTATCAGTGCACCCACGCTGTCTCTGTTTCTCTGACACCTGGTTTCCTGGGATCGGTGGTGCGGATCAGCTGGAAGAGCTTGCTGTAATTGCCTAATGCTCCCGCCTCCTCCATTTCTTGACGCCGACTGGCCCACCCTGCTTCCTTGTGAACATGCAATCCGCTTTAGTTCGCGCCTAATAGTCCGACTGGTTATATTGTGCTCAGAGCTAAGTGGGGATTGTCTTCTTGATTCCAACAGGTTCCTTGACCTCTCGGATATCCAGTGACTGGTCCGGTGACGATGGCTAGCGCCACAAGTTGACGCTCTTGCGTCGTGCATTGCCGCCGAAATCTTATTCCAATGAAGCTCAGTGTCATAAAGCCAAGACAGCGGAAGTTCGGCACGCAGTGCATCATGATAAGCTCGCCTGACCGATGGCTCAGGCAATCTACCCATTGCCAATCGGCAGAGACGTTTGATGCGCATCCCGACAACGTTCATGGAGAAAGGAGGGCGTAGCAAGTATGACCAGAGTCTAGGGAGGTATTCCAGAACGAGTGGCAATCTAGGATGGAATTACGCCACCTGTAACTTATGGCACTTTGATCAATTTTGGTTCATTGCTGGCCAATTACAGGAGGACGCCAAGTGACACTTCGGCCCCAACTGTGTCTAAAAGTGGTGTTGGTAATAAACAACTGGTGCTTAGCACGCAGTTGCAACAGGCGCTTGAGTTGTCAATCCATTCGGAGTTAAGCACTTAACTACCACCTAGCCGAGCTTCTGACGAGTGCAGACGCCCCATTTGTGCGTTCATATCCCCTGAAATACCATGATATCTTAACTAGTAGCAATGAGTAGTAGCGCATTCAGTTCGTGCTAGAATGTGTCCACGACAGCGTCCGAACTGCAGTGAGTGGGGGTATAAGCAAAAATAACAAACAAACAGCGCTTCGTGCTAATTCGTGTATCTACCTTAGTTGATGTCGGCAAACGGGTTGCAAACAGACGGCAGTTCACCGGAATCCAATCAAGCAACGATCGCTCAGCCTTGGAGCTGAGAATGATACAGACCCCTGCTTGACCTGTGAGGGCTGCATCGGCGTCTCCGGATCCGTGTAATCAATAGCGAGAGGACAAGCCGAACGCAGTTAATTCAACTACCCCATTAGGGTCATTGATCATAGTTTGGGGCACACAACATATGTCAACACCTAGTCTGTCCAACGTGTATGCAAGTGCTGCCTGTTGACCTATTTGTCTTAGAGTGCGGACGTTGAACGCCGCCAAGGAAACGGGACAGAGTACGCTTATAAGGGACGGTTGACGATACGCGTCCGCTGGGTGTTGCGAAAAGGTGGCTGCACGTCAATTGTTGTAACACCACCATAAGTCTTGACGACAACCACAGTCGTGTTCCTCGACATCAAAGGTGCCTTCGATTCGGTGGCTAGATGTGATCTTTAGCACTATGTACTTAGGAAAGGTGTGCCCGAGAAATATGTGAATTTTATCAAAACGCTTTACGCGCGTAGTTCAGACAACGTAAGGACTTATGGTAAAATGTTGCTTCCTTTCAATAGTTTTATCTGTGCAAGACAATGTTGCCAGCTAGTACCACTCCTTCTTAATTTCACCATCGAAGAAACCAAGACTGCGTTCACTGGACACAACGTACAACGTGTGGAGCTGCCGCAAAAGGACAAACTTCCTGACTCGGTATGTAAATAACACTGCGCTGCTCGGTGACAACTCACAAACGTGTCAAGCAGCAGTGAACAAATTGGCACTGGCTGTCAATCATTTTGGGTTATGCTTTGCGCCCTCGAATTGCAAAGTTCTACAAGATTGGTAGCGACCCACTCCTGCACAGAGCCTTAGCGGTGATCAGCTAGAAATCGTTCAAAAACCTATGTATTTAAGTAGCTACACCAGCGCCAGTTAAATAGGAAATGAAATCGCGGACCGTATTGCAAAAGGTCGTGGTGCTTTTGCTGGCCACCACCACCTGTGGCGCCGGCGCGAAATCACTGTTGCCTTGGAAAAGTTGCGATAGCTTGGGCACGTGTTCCTGAGGAGCATTGCCGGTGTCTGGTGGCACCAGCGTGTCAGCAACGATGATGTATGTAGGCGAGTGCTAAGCAATGATAGTCATACTAGCTCCTTAGAACAAAAGATAACACTGAATAAGTTGCACCGCCTTAGGCACGTATTACGTATGCCTGGACACCGCTTACTGAGAGGATCTTGTTTGATTTACCATATTTATAATGGCTTAAGACTCTAGGTGGGCAAAAATTAAATTTTCAGCGTGAAATGAAGTCACTGACGACGAAACTCGATGCCGTCGGTCCGTCTCACATTCCAGGCTATAGTCTACGGGACCCGCTTGTTGCTTGCCTCAAGGCTTTACACGAAATGACTCGCAGTCCAGTGGCGTACTTGTTGTCATCTCTTAGTCGAATTGCCTGCTTAAAGTGTGTTTGGTGAGGATTTATCTGCGGGGTACCGGCTAATTAGGATGCGAGGCAGTGAAAACGGCAAGAAAGCTATCTGCTCGATGTTGCCTTACCTTTGAATTATGGCCAGATGTTTGTGAACCTACGTTGGTGACAAGATGTAGGCGCCTTGACCCCCAGTGCTTGTTTATGGCATTAAGGTTTTACAGTAGGTCCCCTTTTCTTCCTCTTGTTGTGCTTCCTTCCGTAGGTCACCGTGGTTGTACGGCAGCGAAGCATCAGTTCAAGTGACTGATGTACTGCTGTGTATGATGAGGATGAAAAGCAGTTTACTATGCAGCCGTGCGTTCAACCCTACAATACGGCTGATAAACGTAATACAGCATATTCACGAAAATAAAGAGGCTAGTTACGTTCAACAACCGCCGCCTTCGAAGTATAGCTCATATGTGGTGTAAACACGACGTGAGCAATGAACGTGTTCGGCGCAGCGTATTTAGTGCAGGAAGCGCGACTGAACCGCTCAGTACCGTTATATGGCTTACCAGGCTCCAACGGCCAGGTCATGTGTTGCGCATGCCGGCATCCCGACTCCCGCGACTTGTGTTGTTTGGGCGACCTAGGTCTGGATAGAACAGGGAGGCCAAATGGTGACTTGGTCAGGAGGAGACAATTACCTAGAAATCGGCGTCTGTTGGTGCCTCACGACTACCGGGTTAGGATCCGAAAGACGATGAACACGTATGGTTGGATGCATCAGTTGACATGGCGTTTGCGCTGAGTTTCTTTTTCCCTCCCCAGCACAGTTAGCTTCCTTCTACCAAGATCTCACCAAGGAAATCCACATTGTTACGTTATAGCTTTAAGTATTTAGAACCGCGCAATGGTAAGTAAAGCAACAAAATATGCTGAGTGTGAACGGTACCTGGGTCCACGAAAAACGCATTTACAGCTTATTTGTAGGCACGGCAAGAAAAAAGATCTCCAGAGTGACTGAAATCTGTTCCAAGTGTATGCAACTGGGACTGCCATGGCCACGGAAAACGGTAATTCCAGTAGGTCAGGCCAGGCAGGTCAGATATCAAGAGCGTCTTGTTTCTTGTACCGGTAAGTGAACAACAGCCCTGGCATGGTTCCTAAAGCGTATGAAACTCGGCCATTCATATTATGTGAATTAGTGTATAGTAGTTTGTGCACAATAAGTGATTAAAGTGCCTTTGAAACTATTTTCAAACGAATTTCAAGCACTCGCAAGATTCGATACGGGCGGTGACGATTGGGCGTCCATAAAGCTAAAGACCGTTATTTTAACGTGTGGTGTTGCAGGTCGATATCATCAGATTAAGAAGTTAATGAAATTCAAATACCAGTTGGCGTCGAGAAATTGACTATACTCAATGTTTAGTAAATCCCAAAGTCAACAGCTGACATGCTCAATTACGCTTAACAAAAGCAGTATACGGTTGAAAGAATATGTCACAAAATGTAATACTCACCCCTTGGTTTAAAAATAAACGAGTGGTAAACTTTGGGAAACCTTCCGAGAACGATAGGTAAAGCAATATAAAGTAAGAGGAACAAATTCAGCACAGTGATCGAAAGCAAAAACATAACTTGAAGCCGCGGCAGTCCGTGGGTCACTGTCGCACATGCAGATAAAGAGCTCATAAATGTGAATGCATTTCCTACTTTTCCACTGCGTTGTTGTCTATAAAACTGGGATCTATGAGCATAGATAAATAAATGACTAACTAGCAGAATAGAAGTTTGCAGTTAGACATGGCGTTATACTATGAATTTCTCACTTGCTAACATCCTTAACGCAATCGCTTACATCCATAAGGCAATCACTCACATTCTCGGTACAGAAGCTATCAATCTTACTGCAGATGCTAACATCCTTAGTGAATAAACTTCCCTCATTATCGCATAGGCTATCATCCAATAATAATCGCACTTGCATCCACATAGCACTGCGCTGGCAGAGGCTACCAGCCAATAGAATTCGGTATAGCGTAGCGACTGAAAACAGTTACACGCAGCATACTCACGATTTCGGTGCTGAGCAGGAAAACTGTGAGACTTGCGTGGGACTAGGGTGGTCCAACTCAAATGGACGGCAACTGAGACTTTACTAAACGGAGCTCAGCCCGTGCACAGTGCGCCACGCGCCCTCACTGGGCAGTAGTGGTGTTTGAGACATCCATTAGAGCGCGCACAGTCCCTGAGGGAAGGGAAAAGCGTGGGCTCAGAGCACCGGGTATAAGCCCGAAGTGGATTCAAACCCTTTTGTAAGTAAGCAAATGAGATATCTGAGGCTAGGGCGCAATTGATGCACGCAGGACAACAATGCACAAAGTTGGTTTGGTATTAAAAAGGTGCTCTACACAAGAGACGCAGATTGGTTGTCTCGTTTTGGTGGGTATTCAGGCTAGTTCGGTCGGATATTTGAAGACGCAGTAGAAGCTACCGTTTGACCTTGAAGTCAAGTTGTCCGTAATATAAGGAGCGGAACAATCTCCGCCGCAGCAGAATGGATACCATTCACTACACGTAACTTCGTTATTTAGGCGATGAAATAGCACTATTATGACGGATGCAAAGGTCTAAGTTGCATGTGGGGTAAAAGGTAATCATATTCCAAACAATTCTCCCCCATGCGAACCACACAAGTCAAATCTAATCGAGGTAGATATGACAGCTTCCGGGTGGAAAGCTGTAATCACCAATGGAGCGATGAACGAGACATGTGCTGGATGTTTGATCGCAGCCTTGCAATTTCTTTCGAAAGATTTGTTACCCGGTGACTTATATTACTTGCCTTCTTGTTCCACAGGTGCGAGAGCATGTACTTATTTGTTGCGAAGGGATTACACAGCAAGCGGCTGGGCTCGAGACATATGGGGTATAGCCAGTCGACGCAGTGACCCCCAACCTTTGTATCGCGTGGACCTGCCGGCGTTCGCTAATTGTAACCAGGCCTGCTGAGGGTGTTTGTTGAACGTTTACTTTGTAGCTTGTTTTGCGTGAATAATTATAATTGTGGCTGAACACGCCAGAACGGGATCAACCAGGACCACTCAGCTGGCTAGCCTTCCAAATCGGTGGCCAGTAACCGAGGAAAAGTCCATCGCCTTGCTTACAACAATTCAACCAGGCAAATATTCCCTTATCTGGAAACATTTAAGTAATTGTTCCGCCGTTTTATTACCTACCAGTTGGACAAACTTCTGGTTCATTATCTTGGATGGATGCGATTATACTGAGGCCTGGTCAATTAGGTTTAAAGAGCTTTCTTCCTCCAGTTATTACACGGAGTTCCCTCACTGACATTTTATTAAATAACTAAATAAAAGGAAACTTTTATTCACGAGAATGCGTGGCACATTTTCTTAGGCATGATCGTGCTAATCTAACATTGTGTGTTTAAAAATGTACAAAAATAACTGGTTATCTTGACAGTGAATGTGTGCATGGGTGCATGTACTTTTATACTTTTACACAAATACAGCTGTGTAAACTGTTTTGTGAATGCGTCGCAGCATTTTTACTGCTTGTACTCGGCAGGTAGGTGAGAATAAGCGGTTAAAGTCCGTGGATTGGATAGCCTTTCCCAGATTTCCATGAAGCCTTTACTTCATTTTGTGGCGAGCCACGACCGCCGCATGATAATGTTAGTAAGCAGTGAGTTGTAGCGTTTTATAAGGAGAGTGCTTGACAGTCGGACACCTAACACGTCTTGGAACGCTTCTGCCTAGCTCTTTGCTGGAATGCGTTAAACCCGCACCACCCAGCTGTCACTAAGAGAAGGTCTTTCGGCTAGTCATCTAACTGGGACAGTTCACTTGGCTTCGGCTGGCAGACTCTACCACAAAGCTTTGCCCTTAATTTAGAATATCCTAACGCAATGCCGACTTTCACTGTGGTCAGAACAAAAGGGTTTAGTCAGGTACATTACTGAACAAATACTTGTCATCTGCCACAAATCTGAAACAGTTCACGCTACGTTTATCATCCACTTGGCCGTAGATACAAGTGTTACCAATCAATCCAACTTACCCAGATAGGATATCCAGCTTCTCTATTTCGTAACATTTGCTACATTTTTGAGCCTGACCAACTGCGTTTGGCCACTTTTCCCGTTGTAAAAATACTTCAGCCATCTCATTTATAATACTCTCCGGAGATATTAGGCGGTTCTGCAAGCGACACATACGTGACTTTCCAAAAATGTTCAAATAATTGTTTACTTACTGAACGGGCCGTGCCACCCCGTCAAGACGTGACAGGATCCGTGGATGAAACAGTCCCTCACCAATCAAGCATCAGGCAACGAAAATTATAGACGTATCCTCACTACGGCTGGCAGAACCAATACTCGGTCAAAACGAAGCATTGCAAGTTACAGGTTGTCATATGAATGGATCAACGGCAGTGTTCCATGACTTGGTGGGTATTTACTTGGCAAGCTTTCTTTCTACAGAGAGCCACAATGACCGTTCAACAACACCGCGAAGTGGCGGATTTGACTGGGCACCGAATAAATTCACAGCACATTACTTCAGTCTTCCAAGCTGACAAGGACCACATATCACCATTTTCGATACGCCACGACACTTTCCTACCTGCGTATTTCGTCGCTACGTCTCGTTCTGCGCAATCAGCGTTGATCGCAACGCTACACGCACATGAACACCGCATATCGTGTTATCGCTGTTAACCTTGATCTGCAGCATTTCTTCGTTAATTGCGCAACTCTACTTCTTGAAGTATTCTTGTATGAATTGTTACTGAATTTTATGGCAGGCTGGGGATGCCCAAATGAAGGTGCTTGAGCTCACGACCATGGGCTGTTTTTATCTTTACTTCTGTCCTAGTTATACACCGTCAACCGTAAACGTCCGAACAACCTAGGTTCTTATTATTACAATTGAAATGAAATGCCTGTACAAGAGCACTTATTTGATCATGCCGCTGTGAGCTTGCCCCGCATAGTCAAAAATAAATCCTTGTTTATTTATTTAAAACAGAGAATCGAGGCAGCTCAACTTGCCGGCTTGAAGTCGTAAGTCGTGAGTTCATCTTTAGCGCTCCACACACGGATATTAATGGCTAGATGTAGGAAATACTCTTGCTAGGCGAAACCCCACGCAACCCTAGAACGTTACTGTCGATCCGTTTGTGTAGTTATGCGTAACTGTCGGCGAGTGTTATAGACCGCTTATTCGCTGGGTTATGCGCAGTCAAGTTATGTCTGAATTTTTCCGCTGGCTGACGGAATGGCTTAGTTAGGGTCCGCCAAGGATTTTGAAGTTGGCAGTGCTCCTCAGAAATAATATTTGGTTGTGAAGAGTAGGATAAATAACTGTGCATGAGGGCGCATTTATAATTACTACAGATTGGTTTTTTGTTACCATACACTCGTCCAGGCGGATAACCCACGGACCATACAGATGACTCAGGCTGGTTCTCCAGTAATGCTAAGCGGACGCAGCATGTATGTTTTTATTAGCTTACTTCCTACCTCAAAAAGGAAACACGGGAGATAGCAAGACGAGTCAAAATCTTCCAGAAGGCCTTATCAGGCGAGGTGAAATGGCATGCTCTCTACGATGTATCCATTATTACCGGTCTTTTCAATATATATTGAACGAACGGATGTAGACTTGAAACCGTCTTTATTGGTGTATTTTGGTGATGCCTAGGGTGCGCTAAAAGTTATTGTGCGATTTGTAAATGGGTAGTTGCATCCAAACATAGGATGTTTTTAGTCAATCGGTGACGTATGGTTTTACAAAACTGACAAGGCAGCATAAAACGATTATCAGGAATAAGATAATTAGAAGCAAGGAGAGGGAAGTGCACAGGAGTAAAGAAAGCACATCATCCTCATTCTAAAGAAAAGCAAAAGCTGACAAGAATTTCGACGAACTAGGCTTGCTTCCCACACGCATAGTGTCCCCCACTTTTCAAGCATAAATAAGGAAGATAGATCATCAGTGTCTTACGAAATAAAAGCGCGGCACCTGTTAATAATTAAACGCTAAGTATTTTCATGTACCGAATGTGCTAAAGGTGAGAGAGAAGAATAATTAACATAACTAAATAAATGAAGTTATATTTCTAGGCTTTCCAGATGCCATGCAAGCAAGCATGAGAACAAAATTTACACAATACTGGACCCTGCATGTGGCTTGAGAACCATGACAATACTTGTTTGCTCTTTGTTATTACGAATGCACAGGCATTTTCCGTTTACCATAGAAGTTCATTTAACTTCTTTAGTCGATCATAGTACTTGATTTCTTAGTGGCGAAAAGTCGAACAAAGCAGGTATTCTGTGGAATTAAGCTCCAATACTTTACGAACTTACTATAAATTATTTGGACTAACTCAAGACGCTCAATCGTCTCATTTAATGGCGAACCAATGGAAAGAACTGTGAGCGGCGGCAATATAAGGTACAAGAACTAGATAAAAATCGTTTCTAAAAATGGGAGCAAAAACAAAACGCACTTTTACAACATACACTGAGGCGACGTACTTAAATGGAAGATAAAACAACATAAAATCTAGCCAAACGTTCTTGCGGCATATTTGATTGCTAGCGCCAAAATTAAAGCTATATCTCAGAGCAAAGGAAGCAACGTTTCTAAGGCTTGTATATTTCGAAAGAAGGAACAAAGATTAGCTAAACTGAACAGGTTTTGTCTGCTGATTGGGCTTACATTACGAGCTGTGTGATAAATTCCGTACTTCGCGAGTTATTTGAGATCGGATGGCGGTTTATAATTAATGTCATTATTTCATTTCTCTAAAAATGGCTT